GGTTGCCAACCTAGACGGAATTCTGTCTTGGTTGGCAACCTAGACGGATTTCAGTCTAGGTTGGCAATCTAGACGGAATTCCGTCTAGGTTAAACTATCCTACACAAAAATTTCGTCTAGGTTGATTGTTTTTCAGCAAAATTTTTTTTATAATTATCAATTCCCTGTACATTTATTTACCGTTACATTATACACATAAATACATCCAACCATCCACTCATCCAAATATAATCAAAATTCATAACAATTCCATCCATAACCAAATATAATCAAATCCAACACTATGCACAGATCCAACCATCCAATCCAAAATATTAATCAACCAATTCCATCCAATATATACATCCAACAATATATACACTAGCAATACACATGAATAAGATAGAGTACACGACATAAATAAAAGTAGAATGCTATAACAAATAAAACTGTTTATTGCATTAAAAAATAAAAAACCACAGCAACCGTCGTCGTCGGCAGCATCTCTATCCCAGTTACGAGAACGGGTGTTGCTCCCTCAATATATCCACTCTAAAGGTCCAATTGAATAATAATTATGTGGTGTTTGATAACATATTAAACAAAAATGAATTTATAAATATAAGGAAAAATAAATTCCTGAATGTTGCTCTGCCTAGCGCTGGAATTATCGCCAATCGAGCTTATGATCTGCATGATACCACCATACGCGCTATGGGGAATTACATTGCCTAAATATTGTATAACGTACCCCATGAGAGCATCCATTGAGTTGGCCATCATCGCAACTCTGATCATCTCATTAGTCACCTGAATATGCAGCTCTGGGTTAATCTTGTCAAACAAATACACAGAGATATGTGCGAAAAATGGCATAGCCTGGAAACTACTTGGGGTTGCGCTCATTGTTGTAGATGGCATGGAGGATGGTGTGGATGATCTCATGCTTATGCTGGGTGAAGCCCCAACACCATACAGAGGATATCTTCCTCTCCTATTATTAGGGAGAAATAAATATTATATTTTGCTCTTGAATTCAATAATGTTAAACAAATATTAAATAATGTTAAACAAACAATGATTCGATTTTTTACCATCCATACCTATTATGTCCCATCAGGTTCTTAGTGAGAGTGATGTTATCCTTTGCAAAAAGCATGCGAGGGTCCGGCTCGCCTTGTTCTTCCTCCTACGACATGTACACTGTTACAGTCTCATTAGTTGTAGTTTCAAAACCATCCTAAAGCACAAATATATAGTTAATTCAAGGTAAAGACCATATTATTTGTGTTCTCATTTTCTCGTAATATTAACAACGAAATAGAGTTAATAATACTAATCAAGATATATATAAGTCTCACCGCCAACTCAAGATTTGCCTTGATCTTATCCCGATTCTTCTCATCACTCCTATATCGATCACGAAAAGTACCATTTGCTGCTTTTGCCTTCAAGTGTATCAGCATTTTTGAATTTCCCTATCATATTATAAATTTATGAGATTTTATAATCATACTAAGCATTAAGATCATTTAAAGCTTTAAATGACATATATTGTATCCCGACAATAAACATCCTCTAGATTGGCATAGGAGTGTTCGCCCAAGTGGTGGTCATATAGCTTCTTTCGTCTATTCTCTGACCCCTTCATTGATTTATTCTTTAAAAAAATATTTCAGTAAATATGCAATGAAATAATATCTTAAAATTATAAAGTAGTTTTTATAAAACTAAACTTGGCGGCATCATTGTCCCAATACATGAGGAGAGCCGTGAAATGAAGCTCGTCAACTCGATCATCGAGGTTTAAAAACCTCTGCCAGTCCTCTTCATAACTGTTATAAGTTCTGTGTTTGATCTCATGCCTCCATTGTTGGAGGACTGCTTCAACCTTGACATTAAACACATAACTCCAAGCCCCCTCAAAGTCCTCAAGGCTGAAGCATTCCTGTAGATTTACATATATATTTAATTAGTATAATTTAATACCAATAACTAATTATTAATAAATGAAAAGCTAAAGTAATATGAAGTTACCATAAGCTCATTCCATATTGCCTTGTATGCGGTCGAAGGTAGTTCTCGGAAATGAAAATAAGGATTGATGATGTTCGCTCTACACACGAGAACCCCAATATATGCATTCAATCTGGATGACCAAGGATCAGCAGGCAAATTATAACTATTCCACCGAATAATGGCCCTCATTCCTCTTGGCAGTTGTTTAGACTCATGCTTACCTCCGCCACGTCGTCCCTCTATGCGATCTAGCTTAGCACCTAAAATAATAACAACTTGATAATATATCATATAATATATAAATATGAAAATTAAAAGTATTTATACAATTTAACCTTTGCTATCTCTCTTTCTTTTGCTGTGAGTGCAACAGCTTTCCTAGTCTCCAACAAAGGAACCATTTCCTCCAACTTTCTCGCAGCACGTGGATGGTACTTCCTTGAGTCCGCCTTGGACTTCTGAGAGTCCAGAGGTGTGACGCCCATGTTTTTACACATGGCTGCAGTCCAAGATGAACCCAGAGATGTCAAACCTGTCATGCATCCATACTTTACATGATGCGGCATAAACATGTACCAAAAAGATTGCAAGTGCACAACCGTGTCAAGTTATAGTATTTAAGATTACAAGAATTAAATTCACATCTTAAGAAATAAAAACAAGAAAAAGAAGACTAATTACAAAATTAAAAAGAAAAGAAAAATCTAAACTATGAACAAGAAATAAATCTAATTACAAAGAAAATAAAAATCTAAACTACAAAATAAATTGCAGAAATTAAATGCAAGAAAAATAAATCTACTCTACAAATTAAAGTGCAAAAAGAAATAAAAAGACAAGAATTTAAATCTACACTACAAGCATGAATTTAAATCTAACTAATAAGCAATAATAAAGAAATTACTAAAAAGAAATAAAAGAGAAAAGAAATGCAAACCTTCAAATTGCTCTTCATCTCCATCCTCATCATTCAACAAGAGGAGAAAGAACAAATTTAAAGAGGAAAAAATTATTTTTATTAATTGCAACAAAAAGTTATAATTTTGGAAGACCTTCTCAATTAAGAGTAGCCCTCCTCTCCAAAAGAAGTTACAAAAATTTTCATACCTTAACCCCTCACTCTCTACCCCTTATTATAGTAATCTTCAATGAATATGAGCCATTGGATTTGTCTTGAGCCCCAAGCAACAATCTTCACCTTTGAATTTGCTTTTTGTTCTTCTCTAGCCCAACATAAGAGGCCCATTTACATATGATTTTCAAAGTTGAAAACTTAAATTTGCAGCACAGTCTTTAGCCCATTGGAGCTTCCCTTGATTTTTAAAAACCGAAATGAAGAGCTGCAGCAACCTTTGGCCCATTGAAAAAAAATCAAATCTCTAAGTCATCAAGTCCGGCCCATGAATTAAAAGCCAATTCTTTGCATCCATCATTCCAAGTCCGGTCTATTAAATTTCGGCCCAATTGCATTTGATTTTTCAAAACAAAGCAACCGGCCCATTGATGTAAGATCCATTTGATTTTCAAAAAGAAGATGAAGAAGTGCAGCAAAATCCAGTCCATGAATGATCAAATTTAATTTTCTGCAGCCTAGCCTAAGTCCGGTCTCTTCAACTCTTTGCATCCATGTCCAATTCATTCCAACTCTTTGGTGTAATCATTTTTATTTTTGATGGGCTCTGGGCCTTCAACCTCACTTGAGAATAAAGAGGAGGAGCTGCGATGGGCTTTTGTCTTTTAAAATTTAAATATTTCATTTGGCTTCTTGAATTTCTCTTATTTCTTCATTTACTCAAGGGTTTTTGTTGAAAGATGGGATTTTTGGGATTTATTCTTCATTAACCTGCAATTAAAGATAAAAGCAATTATTTGTGGTATATTTATTCATATAAAATAGATAATGAGGGTGTAAAATTGTAATAAAATGTGATTATCAAATACCCCCACACCTAAACTTTTGCTAGTCCTCTAGCAAAGAAAGAAAAAGAAAATCCTAACTCACTTTCACAGGAATTGCAGTTGTATTTAGCGCATACAACAAGCCTTTAAACCCCTAGGTTACCCTAGTGGACGAGTTGT